ATACCCACAGTCCTACAACAGATGACAAATTAGAACACGACCTCGACAAGTTTACCCAACACCAGCAACAATTTCTTAATACTTACCGACAACTTACTATCCATCAACAGACCCACTCTGCTTCACAGCCAGAAATATCAGCATCATCTCTTCGTAAAATCCCACTCGTCCAAATGCAGTCTTATGATTAGAAGGTACCCCACTAGTCCACCTAGATACCTACTCAACCAACCGTCCTCATCCAAAATTCAATTGTATTTACCAAGACAGCCATACTAACACTTTTACAATTTTTACTTGATATGCACCCATTTTTAACTGAATACTCCTACGACAACAAAAAAGGCCAAAACCAACGTAACACCTACGTTGATGAAAAATTCCTCCGACCTAAAATTCTCCAGGATATCATGTTACAACATCACTACCCATTGAAAACACAACTGAAAAGAAACAAAAATGACAGACTTTATATCACCATAATCTGCCAACTAACTAACGCACTACAACTCAAAGACTACAGAAACATTGGATTATCGCTTGTAATTAACGGCTTATCGCAGAAAGATCTAAATAACTTCCCATTACGCACTAGGATCACGCAGTCGTACACTATATAAAAAGTTCCCCTTACGATACGGATTCAGTAGTTGACTCAAAACTAACGGAAACAGTTATCAATAAGACGGATTATACGTCCGATCTAAATAGCCTTAACAAAAAGTTTGCCCACGTTATAGATCAAGCATCACCAAATCAAAAAAGCATTTAATTGATGTTTCCTTAAACCTGAACTTTTGACTTCTAAACTCGCCTTTACCTTTCTCATTCCCAGAGAACGCAATATCAGCAGCTCGTATAGAGTAATGCTGAAAACAAACATCATTAACATTCTTACATACTATGGCTTTATTCAAAGACACTTGTTACAAAGCTTCCCGCCAGAAACCCTCACCTGCGTTACATGTTTATTCCTGCTATATTTCTGCCCGGTTTCTTTAATTTACCTAATGTACTAAAACAACTAACCCTCACGGCATCCTCCAGAATTATTACCCAGTCCACCAAATTTTTATTCTTTGTCCCCTCACCAACAATTTCCCCACTGAAAACTCCCGCTCCTTTATCATCCCGCTTGAGTGCATCCAACCTATCATGAGTGCATCACAATTTTGACAAAGCTCCCCGCCAGGAACTCTCACCTGCGTTACATGTTTATTCCTGCTATATTTCTGCCCGTTTTCTTAAAATTACCTACTGTACTAAAACAACTAACCCCACGGCATCCTCCAGAATTATGACCCAGTCCGCCAAATTTATATTTTTTGTCCCCTCACCAACAATTTCCCCATTGAAAACTCCCGCTCCATTATCATTCCGAATGAGTGCATCCAACCTATCGAAATAGCCATGTTAGAAAATGTCCATCACTAATTTCAGTCACAAGCTCTATAACCTTACACAATTTACTCACCATGAGTTTTACGCCACCTCTAAGAAAGTCATCATCCGCGCGCTAAAACTAACTTGCCTAATGGATTATTTTGAACTCGACTCCCTGATGGATTATATTGAAGTCGACCCCCGATCAGTATGAATTCACATTTTTGCTAAATTTTCATCAAAATTTCATTCAACAATTTTACATTTGTGTCTCACCAGCTAATTTAAGAATTCACCGGTAAATTTAAAAAAAAATCAAATAAAAACGTGGAAAAAATGTAAAACTTTCGAACCAATAACGCTAGTTGTTTGTTAGTAATTTATAAATTGCAGTAAAATTTATAGACCGCGAAAGTCGATTACACTTGTGCAATTAATTGTCTATAAAAGATTATTGGTTTAAAAATGAGTAACAAAATTAGATGAGGACTTAACTTTTTATATGCGCTTTTTTTGAGAAACTTTCAATTTGCTGTTTGACCTACCCCTACTTCATGCACTCCTCTCACAAGTCAGCGTAATTCTCTGCTACATTTTTTGGAAATTGATTAGTTTCTACTTTGATAAACTAACTGATTATAAATTTATTTCGCTTTCACTTGTTTCAAATTATCTCTAACCCAATTGGCAGAAATAAATTGCAGCAAAAGTAGGAAGAAGGAATTACTGGTACAACCTCAGCTTACTAATACCACCATACCAATAACTTGTACATGAAAGTCTTAAAACCAGATTAAACCAGGTTAAACTGGATAAAATGTTTTTTTTTTTGAATTTCAATTCAAAACGTTAAAACGACCACATAAAACACTTGTTAACTCAAAGATAACCCAAACTAAAAGCAATCCCTTTACAAAAAAGGACCATCAAAAAACTAAAGATAAAAAATTTTTGATTAAAGAAAAAAAATAACACAGATTTAGGGGCTCTACTCAAAGAGACCCGCATAACGACTCTCCTCTGGCCTCTCACCATCTATGGAGAACCTCGACCCACAATTTATTAAGAGTAGCATAAGTGTGAGCAATTTTTTAAAAAATAACTAATTTAATTATTTTCTTTTTGCAAAAAAACTATCAAGGATCACAAGAAAACATGAATTTACTAAAACGTGCAGATATCAAAGTAAAAATTTTTCAAAACAAAAGAAACGACCGGCATACGGTGAAGAAACTCGTTGACTTCTCGATACTTGAATGGCAAATCTTTTGGTTTTGCTTGCTGCAATCGCAACACTCACAGGCTAAAGAACATGAAATCATTTCAATTTTGCGGCAAAGGTATTCATTGAACAAGAACACAAGCTTACTTGTTATTGAACTCAGAAATTGGGATCTTAGTCTTACAGTAGTTCACTCAGAGAAGTCATACCCAATCTTGGTATTTGATAAATAGTTGAGAACACTCGTAGTCTCGCTCTACTTATAAATCTGCAGGCACAAAACGATCCTTCAACTCACAAAAAAAGCTTGTCAATCTCTACCTTTTTCTCGACAACAAATATTTCACTGATCCGAGCAAGTGCAATTCTTCTCGAAGAATCTTCTCATAAAAACCAGACTAGACAAAATTCATCCTTCACAAAAAAGTATAAAAATATCCGAAACCTCGGATGGGTGGAACCAGTTCAAAACAAGTAGTTTATATATCCACTTATAATATTCTTGATAAATATCACTGTAAAATACTTAGAACTAATCAATCACGATCCGTGACTTTATAAAGCTTCATAATAATAAATTTAAAATAATTCCTAAAGCTTCATCTATTTATAGTTTCAGGTATAGAAAAATCAATTCAGCTTAAAAAACATTTGCCTCGTTCTCTCTCTAACATCTCAAGAGTACCAGAATATTCTAGATCTTTTGAGACCAGGAATTAAAAGAGTAAGATTAGTATCCGTATTAGACTAAGATGTTGCACGAATCTATCCGACCGAAAATTAGGTAAAATCTATCCGACCGAAAAAATTAATACACGAACAGACGGTGTATCCTATCAAAAATTACTCAATGGGAAAACATCCTCGGACATAAACTCAGTGCCCTGTAAACTCAGTTTTACATTTTTTTTACTGAAATCCGTACAATGGCTATAGTTCGTTTAATTACAGAACACGATCTTGATTTGCCTGTCATCTCAAATGATACGTTTAGTTTGCCTTTTGTCTTGTTAATGAATGCACTTTAGCAGCAATAGTATTGCGTACAAATGCGGTGAATTTCTTACCAAACTAGTAATTTGATAAAGGGGAATTGAGATCCATGAACAGTTAAACAGTTAATAAAATTAGTTTTTTTCTTCTCTTTTGTTTTTTGACGAAAAAATGTTACGTATTGTTCACTTTTACATATATAAAAAATATATATATTTCAATTAAATGCGCGTCAATGTTTAAGAAAGTTATGTAGAGCTCATCGTTTGACGCAACACTGAATATTTTGTACCGTTTCTATATCCATTTTCTGCTTATGTTAACATTGAGCTCAAATCATTAAATATATCTGCTAATTTTATAAACAAAAGGCATGCCCTGATTTTTATTTACTTCAGTTTAAACAGTGCTGATTTAAATGATCCGGACAAAACAAAAAAAAATATCGAGCAATTTTACTCAAAATGGATTAGACTTAAGTGAAAAAAGTATAAAGAAATCAAATTTGCTAAAAATTTTACAAGATTTAATATAGTGTGTTTTTCTCCTCGAAGTTCTTAACCAAAATTGTACCCCAAAACTGGCTAATTTTTTGGCTTTATTCATTTAATCAAGTACGCTGAAACTATTAAGTTAGTTGATCAGAAAAATAGATCAAACGAAGCCTCATATACAAAAAGTTTTAAAGATCAAAATTTTCAAAAATTTGTATAAGAGAATCTATTTTTGTTTGATAACTAAAAAAGTAATTTTTACCATAAAAATCAAATATATGGTTAAAAACCAATTTAAATAGCCTCGCGGAATTTTCGGAAAGTATTCTCCTCTAAGAGTTTTGTTCGGGTGTGCAAGAGATTTCTTTCATTACAATTTTCGCATTAATTAACTTGGTAGTTTCAGCGTAAATTTTGATTAATTAAAAAAAAACAAGGACCTAATTTTGGGATATATTTTTAGTAGAGAGTTTCGAAGAAAAAATCAGCATCAGATTATTTCTGGAGAAATTCTGAGCATCTTTGTTTTCATATTTTTTGCTTTTCTTATTCCATTGACAATAAAGCTTTTTAAATTTCAACTTTTGTTCGTATTGTCCGGATAATTTAAATCAGCTTTGTATGCGTACAAGAGTAAATGAAAACAGCAAAGCAAATAGTTTGGTTAAAATCACTTGTTTTGCATGTTGCATCATCTCACATTAAATGTTCACATTGTTTGAACATTAGTAATTGCAGCTGCTAAAAAAACAAAAAAAATTGTGTGCCTTCATTCTTTTACATTTTAACTTAAAGCGTATGCACGTAAATCAAAAACTTGCCAACCAATTCGTTTGACGCAACACAAATTTTTTAGCATGTTACGTCATTTTGTGTGAACATCGTAATTAGAGTTGCTAAGACTAAAACCACAATCAGCATGCGCTCTTTTTTGTATATATTTTTTTTCGCATAAATATGCACAAAAGTAAATCAAAACATGCTAACCAATTGTTTGACTAAGTAAGCACGTTCATTATTTCTCTACCGTCTCAATCAGCGCGCTTAGTTTGCTCACTGTTTGTTTCTACTTGTATACTGATTTATAAAAATTAAAATGGCAGAGAGCTCGGCTGATGAATTTTTCCAGGAGCTGGACAATTTTGAGTTACAAATGCCGGGAGCTCAGAGAGTTCCATTTAAAGACAACGAAAGTCTGGTTAGGATGTTCCGTTCCCAATACCCTAACTGGAAAGAAGAAGGAAACGTAACTTCGGTTCCAGTTGCCAGAGTACCCAGACTGTTTCTGCAAAACACACAAATGTCCAAAAAACTGCAAGATAGCTTCAAATATTTGCAAAAAGGAGAAACCGGAGAAACTAAGGTCTACAGATTGCTTTTGCACGAAACGGATCCAAATCAGGAAGGTATGATGGTCTTTCCGAATGTTAATCCTCAAGAAATTTTCAAAAGTAAAAGTGCAGACGTCGAAATTGACATGTTGGTAGCTCACCCAACCAAAGGGTTTCTCGTGCTCAATATTAAAAAGCCAGGAGGGAAAGGCCTGACTCCACAAAAATTACAAGATGACATTGAGCGTCATGATACTTTCATTCGAAAGCTGATGCAGTATGGACAAGATGAACCAGTAGACCCAATTCCCATTCATTCAGTTATTTGTCTACTACACGATGACAACAAAGAAAGATTTGTCACACTCACAAAATCAGCCGGACAGCAAAATCGGATTTTAATGCTCCGCAAAAGCGATTTAACAAAAGATAACTTTGCGAAGCAATGGAAACTAAATCTCGAAAAGCTTCCAAATTTCGATCCTAGCAAAAAAAACGTGTTTGAAATAGCTTTAGCAAGATTGGTCACACTTAGCTCGTTGGAGAGCTCTGCTGCATTGATTCATGAGCAGTTAATTTTCAACTGTAGCATGCAGGCTATCAACAAAACCAAAGGCCAATTTTGTGAAAAAACATTTGATGCCTTTGATCCCCTTACAAAATTACACCTTGAAACCGCTTCAAAAATAAAAATGACAAAAACAAAGACACTCATTGTAAAAAAAGAAAAACCGGAAAAAAGTGAAACTGAAAGAAACGATGTTGAAAAAATGACAGATGATCATAAAAAAAGTGGAAGTCAAGAAAAAGAAACTGATGAAACAGAAAAAAATGATGACAAAGCGTGGCGATTTCGGAGTACTCAAGATGAATCTAAAGACAAAGCTACAGATGAAGCAGAAGAAGCTAAATGTCAAAAAGTCGAAATTGAAAGTCCGAAAACTGCAGAATTGACAATTGAAGACAAAACGGGTAGCAAAACATCAGTTGTTGTTTTGGATGACGACAAACTGGAAGCTAAAGCTGGGGAACTTAAACATTTGGCAGAAGAATTCAAAAATCTGAATTTGAAAGGCGACGGAACGTATAAAACAGAATTTCAAGGAAACGAAAAAAAGAGATTCATAATTTGGACAGTAGAGCAGCTGGAAATAATAGCCAAAGTGGTCAGGCATCTGCAAAATCCTACTGAAAACGGCTATTTAAGACTACTAGTGACTGGCTGCAAAGGATCCGGAAAAACGATGCTGATGGTTTTTCTTGCAAGCGTCGCAAAGATTATTCTAGAACAGCCTGTCTGCGACTCTCAGTTTCAGAACGAAGTGGTCGCAGTCGCTGGCTTCCATTCGCACTTGCTACTTGCAGATATTTTGAAGCATCTTCTTACGCCATATGGAGTAACCGTTTTACATCCAATAGGTGGGCTTTCAATTAGATTACTTAATATCCTTTGCTATATTTTTATTTAACACAAAAAGGTGAATATTTATTTCGAGCCAAAGGAAAATTACTTATATCGTGTCTGCCACTTGAATGTTAATGAGAACTACATGAAACAGTAGAGTAGTAATCCGTTATCCGCCAGCACTCAATAGGGGGATGATGGGTAGTACAGCAGGGCAAGGTACCATGGGAAACTCAAAACCGTCGTGTTATTTTTACCAGTGAGATTGGTACTGGAATGTAACATCCTTATGGCCTTCTGGCATGAAAGTTAGTTTACAAAAGTAGTTGGCAGGGAAACAAAACATATTGTATGTTGGAGCGAGTTTTCAACTTGAGTTTTTCAAATTTTTCAGCGATTAAGTGGCATATCTGAATCAAAGAAACAACTAATATTTTTTACGAAACATTTGTTGTACAACCCAATTTGTAGCAAAATGAAGCAAAAATGAATAAAACAGCCAAAACTTAAAAATTGTGTTGAGCGGTTTGGAAAAACTTACGGTAAACCTTGAAAGAAGCGCTTTGAGCTCTGAGCTGGGGTACTATCAAAGTTGCTATTTGAAAGGATGCTTCACTAAAGAGCAGATAAAAACAAATAAGGTGTGCTCATTTTTTTCAAGAAAATTAATATCATCAATTTTTTTAATCGAAAACTTTCTCGAACTTTTAATCGAAAAACAACTTCAGGTTATCTAAATATAACAGTGTCCATCGTCTTTTCCTTAGTGGATTCTGATAGTTTAAGTAGTATATGTCGGGGCAAAATCGGGGTGGGGATTTGTTGATGACTCCTATGTATTAACAGAGTATCCAGTAATCACCCTATGTATTAGCATAGGGAATAGATTTCCCAATGTATTAAGATAGGGAATAGAGTTGGTAGGGTTTCATGGTTTGAGTAATGATAGGAGAATGGTAAGAAAAACGGTTGGATTTTGTGTGGAAATGTATAGTTTTTTCGCGAAAATCTCGGCACGTGTTTCCTAATGGGAAAATAATATTGTTGTGTTACGTGGGAATAGATTTTCCAATGTTACAAGATTGCATATAGGTTTCATAGTTTCAGATGGTGAGATGGTAAGTTTCAAAAAAATTTTGGATTCCGAATTTTTTGACGCTCGAATTTGCCGACACTTGAATTTCTTTTCTAATTTCTACGGTTTGTGATATGTAAAGGCTATCTTTTTTTTTACAAAACATCGGTTTGGTAAGTTTCAGATGGTAGGTTTCAGAAATTTTTTTGAAATTTTTCTAAGTTTTACTTGCAAATACATTTTTATCTCAAAAATTTTTTTTTATCTTGAAAAATTGAAAAAGAAACTTTTGCATGGTAAGCTGCAGATGGTAAGTTTTGGCAAACTTAAATTTTGAGTTAGGGTATGGGATCATAAACTAATATATCACAGAATATTTTTTTTTTTTAAATCTATTGAAAACTTACTTCAACTTACTTATATTCTGTGGAAAAGTGGCAAGAGGGGATTATCTTTGACAGGTTAATTATTCCGCTCCACAAGATATCAGGGGAATCTTGACAGCTCCTCACGGTTGATTATTTTTATATCCCATTTAATCTTTTATTCCCCAGGATATCTGGAGAAAGGATGACAGCTCCATTACACTTTATTTTTTATGTCTTATTTTATCTTTTTTCACATAAAAATCATATGATTATTAGACAGATGTATGTTAGCATTTACCCACGGAGTTAATGAGGCGTGAATTGCTTTCTGGAGGGGTTCAAACGTTAAATTTTCGTAAAAAATTGAAATAAATCCAATAAAAACTGAATGAATTTTTCATTGGAATTAAAAAATTAATATGCTACAACTCTTAAATTTCGACCAATCAGATGTTTTTATGAAGTTCTCATTTTCACCTCAGCGTGTTTATTAATTCTGTTATATTTCTTGCTACGATTAGATTCAGTTCTCTTTTCTCTCTTTGTCTATAATGTATTAAAAATAATAATTTTTGAAATATTCGATAAATTATCATCCAAATTTGTCAGTTGATCTGCCCCGGTAAAAACTCACACTGAGAAAGATATAGAAGATATAGTATTAGAAATTTTTTTGTGTCTGGAAAAATGGTATGATAATTTTTCTATCTTTCTCAGAGTAATGTTTTAAGAAGATTATACAAATTACTAGAATTTGGTTACAATTCTCAAAAATCTATCTGTTCTATTGTTAATTTTTTCAATTGCGAGACTACAACATCCATATTCAATCATCATCGTTAGTTGTTAAGACGCATCTTCTAAATTTTCATAAAAGTTTTCTCTCAGTGATTAACCCAATTTTGTACGAAAACGCTAAAATTGATTAAAAATGGGATAATTTCTTCTTAAAAGTATATTAGATATAGGATGAAATTCAACAGAGTCTTTTTCATGACAGATGAGTACACTCTGTTGCTTTTACAACAGAATTTTATGATTTTTGTAGAATTGTTCTATGCTTTAAACTTATTCTTGTTTTCTGCTAAAAACATATTTTCACTATTGAACTCACTTTACAAGAAAATTTAGTCAGAACTGGGCAATTAAGGAGGAAAATAGTATCATTTGAACAAACAATTTGCTAAAATTAGATCTGATAACATCTGATTATTACAATGTAATTTGTACCTGTTTTTCTTTAGGTTCCCTTATTCAGTTTCTACAGTAAATTATTCAAGCAAAAATAGAAACTTTTACATCATTAACTATCACTTTTCGTACAAAACAATTAGTAAAATGCTTTTTATTCTTGATTTTCGTCGGAGGTGGCCATAGAAAAATTCAAGTCAAAATAAATTGGCGCCAGTTAAAGCGTTTAAAACCATATAAAAATTGAGAAAAAAAGGTGTCTTCTTACGTTGAGTTTTCAAAACAAATTAAGAGCAGCTCTATTGGTTTTATCTGAAAACCTTCGGAAGTAGAAATACAGAAGGTAGCCTAGTTTGTAATTTCTGCAACATCTAACAAATTCTAAAAGAAGGCTTCGTAAAAAATCAATTAGAAAGAAAAGGGAAATTAAGGAGCATCCTGTAACAATTGAATAATTTTGCGAAATATATTTAACAAAAAACTCTTTAGTTCTACCTAAATTTCTTATTGAAAAAACTTGAAGCTAACCTAAACAAAATCTTCACTGTGTGTCTAATTAATGTTTCAAGTAATTAACAGATCTTATATCCGGTTCTGCTAAAGTGTCAGCTTGCTTAGAAATTTTCAGCAAGTTCCATATTATTTTCTCTTAAAACTTTTCTGCATCAAATTTTTTTCCAGAATAATGAAAATGATTTATGCATCAGGTATCATCCTCCGAAAGATGTCGGAGTTGAGTGTACTTTACAAAAATTATTCTCAAAACATCTGATTTTTCCTAACATATCGAATTATAACAAACTTTTTGTTAAATTACACACAAATATAAACATTTGAGACTTTTTACGATGAATTTTTTTCTCAAGATACAATTTATCAGCTAAAATTATATGTCAAATAATCTCAAATACACTATTGAATTAAATTGGGTTTGTATCTGAGTTTAGTACTTTCTCAACTTCTGCTTCATATACCATCTTCCAAATTCAACCATTTTGAACAAATTTTTACTTCAAAATTGAATTTTAGATGGAAAAATGTATCATTTCAACAAATTTTCAAAAATCCGAAGCAAAACAAATACCCTAAATTCTTTGCTAAAAATCTTCAAATGATTTTCTCAACCTGATAACTGTATGTTGCTGTTTCAACTCTGAATTGAAGTATTTAAAACTTTGGTTGAGATTGATGTATATATTAAATTTTTCAATGTTTAGCAAGATCCTACATTTTTTCTTCCTTTCTAGGTCAGCTATCAATTTTTTTATAAGCCAGTAGAAAACCATATTTCTTAATAAATCAACGCTCATTATCTGCTTAAGCACTAAACAGGAAAACCTTAAAATGGTATCTAGGCAAAACCTTTCAATTAGTCGATGTTTTGTAAATATCCGGTTTTTTAAAATTTAAACAAAAACTTAACGACTTGTTAGCGCATGTTATGCGTTATACTACAAAATTATTTCAAAACTTTCAATTAGTCGATGTTTTATAAATATCCAGTTTTTTAAAATTTAAACAAAAACTTAACCACTTGTTAGCTCATGTTATGCGTTATACTACAAAATTATTGCAACAAAACCTCTGCAACCAATGGAGTTTTTACTGTAGCTTAAAGACTTTCGGATCGATTTCCATTGAAAATTTCACGACAATTTGAACTCAATTGTTGCTGGTTTTCTCAACAATCAGAATCTTTGAATAAAGAAAAATGACATATCAAGAGTTGTGATGAAAAAATTGTTTCATTTTCACTAGATTTTTTTCAAATTTAGTGTACAGACTTTTTACAATCAGTAAAAACTATTATTCATAGTAACTTCTCCTATGTTTTTAAAAAAGTATATTCAGTTTATTTTCTCTTCGAGTGTGTTTGGAGAATGCTGAGGACATAAGTTAACTTTATGTTGACACAAATAATGCTTCTCCTTGAATTGATTCGTGAGTTCATTGCTGCTATATGTATAAAAGTTACAGTTCGAACACTTCAAAACACTAAGTGTTCTGCGATGTCTTGACGCATCTTCACGTGTGTAGTCTCTGCCACATTCAAGAAATGCAAGTTTTTCGTTTCTGTTCAGTGACGACATCTCAAAACGTACAGAAAGAATAAATGGGAGATTTAGAATGTCCCAATCTTTTAGATGAAAAGAGTTAATTAACCTCGAAAAATGAAAAAATGAATAAAAGTGAATACAAACAGCAAATTGCTTAACCAATTGTTTTCAACATGAAAAAAATTAAAATGGATATGCGACTTAACCAAGCTAAAACAAAAATCATCCGAGGTAACCATGGTGTTATTAAAATCTTTGATATCAGTCAATCAGAATCGCGCATTCCTTCACAGGTAAGGTTTGTGGTAAAAACTAATCAAAAG